CACTTTCTGTCAAGCTTTCTTCATTAAATTTTGGGTATAATTTTGGAGTAAAAATTATGTCCAAAATCTTCAATTTTTTCTATTTTGTAAAATACCTCAAGAGATACTCTTAAGATACACCATTGAAGTTGATGGTTTTTCTTTAAACAATCAAATTAAATTGCAGGGGCATACCTATAATTTCCCATAATCCAAAATAATTAATTTACTGAGAATTATTGGTTGATTATAATATGATTGGTCGGTTGATAAAGAAATGTAATAAAAAATAGGAAGTGAAAGATAAAATCAATAATGAAGTATAAATCTCATCGGATGACTCTTTGAATCCCTTTGTTTGTCTTGTCGTTTAGTCAGCTCACAAACACCTCATCACATTTGATATCCAAGCAAGAATCAACCTAGCATGGTGCCACTATATTATTACTTCGTTGAAAAGTAAAAAAAAAATAGGTTCGTGAAAAGTACAATCATATTAATTTGTTGTATGTCATCGTATGTATTTTGAAATTATATTCTTATGAAGGAAGGTGAGCATGAAACAATGGCTAGATCCTCATAGTAGGCAGCTTAGGGAGATCATAGTCTTTCAACTCATCTGGAATGGCACCCTGCGTCAAGCCAATCAGTTTACAAGGCACCATACACATGACTAGGAACTTTATCTCATAGTTTATTGGAAATAATCCACCACCTTATAATATAATGGATTGAGGACCCCTAATCCACCTGAGGGTGGTAGCAAGCCTTAAGCATTGTACGAGGACGTGCTGTAGGAGTAACTATAACGAGAATAAGTTTTCTTTGATAAAGTTGGTTTGCAAAGCTTTTCTTCCACCCAGATCTGAGTTCCGAATTCTGTTTGTGTCATTCTCTTATTCAAATGATCTCACCATTTGAAAATTTTCTCTACATTTGTTTCTTATAGTCAAATGATGTCACCATTTGAAAAAAAAAATTGGGTCCGTCCATTTATCCAAGTAGGGCGGGTTTCATGTAAGGGTGATAGCGTTGTCAATAAAATAACATTTTGCCCAAATACCTAATTACAAAGTCTATCTTTGACAAACTAGCTTATCACTAATAAGTTAGCTTGTAACTGCTAAGGTAATTGATAAAAATCATATTTGACAAAAACTAGCTAGTAAGTATGTAAAATGACCAAAAAAAGAGTATCTTGAAGAAATAGTCAATGACAATATTTTATAATATAATTAAAACAAATATTTAATAATATAATATATTAATACAAACAAGATAATAAAAAAAATTAAAAATAATATAATGTGTTAATTAAAAGAATTTTAAATTTATTATTATATAGAGTTGTGTTCCGGTGAGAATGGAAGTTAAGGTAAGAAGTATAAGAAGATATCTCCACACTTGAATCAATCCTAATTGAATGTCGACACTATTGAGGTGCACGAAGATGGACCAACTCAATTATCTTCTAAAGCGAAATTCATGGTGGACATGAGATTAAATGTGATTATGGATTCAGATCTCTTCTTACATTTCACCATAACTTTCATTCTCACACGACCTTTCGCCTTGTTGTTATTGTTGTTGTTGTTATTGTTGTTGTTGTTGTTGTTATTATTATTATTATAAATCTTGGATTTTGTTAAAATGAATATTAAAAAAATCTTTATTAATTTATGAATTTAAATAATAATTACATATAATGTGAATAAAAATAAAATTGATCAACCTCACATACGTATCTTAAT